GGGACCGGCAAGCCTCTCAAAAAGCCGGTGTGTGGCAGTTGGGGAGGGAGGCAGGGCGGCGGCCGTCCACCCCGCTCTCCTCCCGAGTAGTCCGCAGCTCCCGAAGCTTCGTGCTTCCCCCAGGGAACCCAAAGCTCCCGATCTCGGGGTCCACCGCCTCTTCCACTACCGTGTGCGTATCTTGTGTGCTCATGTCGAGTAGCAGGACTGCGAATTTTGGCTTAACAGGCCAGATTTCTCCGGAGCCTGTCCTACATGCGACCGATCAGCATGGCGGTCCGGCTCCGCCACGTATAATATATTTTTATATTTTTGTTTTCTTTTTAGGGGTCAGGGGACTGCCTGACAGCTCAGACAGTCCCCCTGCAGGCAGCTCCAGACTTCTATTGCGGCCATGTGATCACAGTGATCACATGGTCTTGGAGGGCAGGGGTGGCCGGAGCTGCTGCAGGGGGACTGCTGGTGTCTCGGGCAGAACCCCCCCCCCCCCGTAGTTTTTCTGGTGACTATAGTGTCCCTTTAACGACCATTTTTTCCACGGTCGTTAAGGGGTAAAAAGGTAGTTTACTTGGCTTATCTCCCATGCCGCTCTCTCCGCAGGCACCCTTCCTCCTTGGCTGAGATAATCAGTCTAGATTATCTCATGCACCCAAAGCTTTCCCTTAGCAATGCACTGAGAGGATGATGTGCATTTGCAGCAAAACACCACATTGCACCAATCATATCTGAGACATCTGATTGAAATAGGTTAGTTCCACTATTTCAGCAGAAGTGCCTTTTGTGGCTGTCCGAGTGAAAGCCACTGCAGCAGGGCTCAGAAGGCTATGCGTGCAGACACCTAAGAAAGACTGCAGCTACGATAGAGGCCTATAAAATCAAAGCCTGTGCCTCCTATCCTACAGGGTGGGAAATAAACAAAAAAAAAAAAAACAAGACTCCACTGCAACTATGGACTCAAAGCTTTAAAGTGGATCCAGATTTGGGCCACTAAGCCAGTTTTCGTGGACAGACCCAGAGGCCTCTGGGTCCAATATGGCGTTGCATGTTCCATCTCAGACAGCCTCTTAAGCCAGCGACACTCTCTGACTCTCCATCCACTTCTGATTTGAACCGGAGAAAGCTCTTGCACAAACTCCTCAAGTTAGATAAATTGATAGAGGCAAAAATAGTTGAGCTGGGAACAGAACTACAGAAGCTGTAAAACAGAGTGCAACAGCTGGAATCAGGAACAATGGAAGCTCTAACCATTTCACCTCCCTACAACCACAAGTAAGCATAACTCCTTTCAACTATTCCTACTGTATAGATATGTAGACAATATTGATAATAGGGACATGAAAAACAATATCCGAGTGATGGGGATCCCTGAAGCCAAACACCCGAGGACATCCACTCCATCTTAGAGCATCCCCTGGACATCTCCATATAATTTGACTGAGCGCACAGGGACCAAAGGATGATTAGATGCAGCCCCACACATAGTATGTGGCCTTCACGTATTCCCAATCAAAGAAGCCATTTTTAAACATGCATGTTCCTCACTCATGCTGATCTATATCGGTCATACTATTCAACTGTTCCAAGATGTGTCCTGGACCACTATATGGGCCAAAGAGTGCTGAACCCAAACATGAGCCAGCTAAGGGACAAGCATATGTTACTGATGGGGCTTCCAATTTTCTCTGCCAGCCACAATGGAATAACAGCAGTTATCACATCGGAAGATGTCCACACCTTTGTACAAGATCTGGGCTTACAAGAAGTTACTGTCTGGGACTTGTAGAGAGACTTGGGGTCAATACCTAAACAGGGATGTGTAGACCCACGGCAGAGCAAAAGGCCCATCCAGATCAGACTCCTCACCTCAAGATGAAAACACCTCAACATGTTTAGATTAGACTTGAATATGAAAAACACACTTCAGTTTACTGCCCTTTTCTACATTATTTTTGCTCCACTACCCACAAGTTGTTTGATAGTGTTTTATCTTTCTAAATTGTTATAATTATACAGCAGAATATCTCAAGCAGGTAAGGTGTACAGTAGGGATCATTTTCTAAATATAAAAAAAAAAAAAAGGTATATGTAAAGATAAATTACGCCTCTACGGCGTGGGAAGCACATAAATGCGTCTTAAGAGGATACATTATCCAAATAGGTTCCAGACTTAAGGAGAAAGACCTAAAAGTCTCAGCCCTTCACACTCTAATCATCAACTGGAAACTCAACATAAGAATGATGGGGATACTGACAAACTCCACCTGTAGTGTCATTTGAGGGAAGAGCTTTAAACATTACTGAATTACAAAGCAAAAAGATCCCTACTACTTACCCAGCAATTGAAATGGAAAACTACTTGCAAGAGCCCTTAAGCAAAGGCTCCAGAAAACATATTTAGATTTATAATGTCTGATAGTGAGGGTGGAACTCATCAGTTAACAGCTGACTGCTAAAACTTTTGAAGAATTCTATGCTTCCCTATATGACCTTCCCTCTCCTGGCATAGTTGACAGATTATTATTATTATTTTTTTTTTCAAAGACACATACTGCGTAGACGCTCTCCAGAAGCTCAAGACAGTTTAGAGTTAAAAAATTCACATATCAGGAACTCCAAGACACAGTTAAAAGTGCACCTAATGGCAAGAGTCCAGGACCAGATGGATACATTAACACATATTTTTTCCACAAATGGGCCTATACATGTTAAAGGGCATTTAACTCTATCTCCTCTGGTCCTATATTCAATATAGCATCTAGAATCCATAATTACTTTGATTCCACACAATAAAGACCACACAAAATATGGAAACTATAGACCAGTTTCGTTACCCAACGACAATATAAAAATATTCTCTCAAATGCTAGTCAACCGACTCAAGCGATATCTTACAGGACTAGTCCACCCTAACCAGGTGGGTGTTGTCCTTGGCAGAGAGGCTAAGGACAATACCACAAAGATTATAAATATCGTCCATAAAGCAGTAGCAGTACATATTCCAACTCTGCTTATCAGCATAGAGGCAGAAAAAGCTTTCGACAGGGTGGACTGATCACTACTATTTGAGATGCTGGGTGAGATGGGATTTGGCGTGAGTTGGATGGCTTCAGTGAGGGCACTGTACACTAATCCACAAGCTAGGGTACAGTTAACAGCACCCACTATGAGCCTACACATCCTCAACAGCACCAGACAGGGCTGTCCTGTCTCGCTACTACTTTTTGTACTCACTTTAGAGCCCTTTCTCAATGCCCTTTCTCAATGGAACATTGCAATGCCCCACCCATATGAACTAATGCCAGTGCTGCACACAGTGTGTGTTTACATTAAAAAGCCTGCAGGGACAAACTATAGACACCAGAACAACTTTATTAAGCTGCAGTGGTTCTGGGGACTATAGTGTCCATTTAATGTGAGGTAAATTAGAGATTAGTGTCACTAATAATATACTAGATTGCCTACTTACAATCAGATGAGGATGGTGATGGGCTGTGGCTGCAGTCTGGCTCCACTGGTCTGGTGTAGAACAGGATCTCTGGAGGCTGTTTGTAACTGTGGTCACAAAATTCAATGTTTTGGGAGGACGGGAAGCAGCTCAATTTTTTGGGTCCTCTTACATAGCTCAAGGTCTGGGCCCCAGGGCATGACGGTGAGTATGCCCATAAAGCCCACCCA